AGCCACCTGCCTCGTCTCTCGGCAATGTTGACGTTTTTCGTTGCGCTGGTCTCCAACTGAATTCCTCGAAATGCTCATTTGGACGCAGGCAGATTAAACTACTCAGCCACCTTGTTGACGCCACTGGTGTTCAACCCGACCCTGACAAAGTCCGTGCAGTCCGAGAATTCCCGGTTCCGCGCTCCACACAAGAACTTCGCAGTTTTATTGTGCTCTGCTCATACTTCCGCCGCTTTGTCTTCAACTTCGCGGATATTGCTAGGCCCCTCACGGATCTCCTCAAAAAGAATGTGGCCTTTTTTTGGGGAAGGGACCAAGAATATTCCTTCGCGTCGCTAATTACCACCCTCACATCACCACCTGTGTTGGCTCATTTTGATCCAGCGGCTCGAACAGAGCTTCGCACCGATGCAAGCGGCCATGGCATTGGTGCTGTACTCGCTCAGATACAGAATGGCACCAACCGTGTGATAGCCTACGCTAGCCGCCTTTTGTCGCAAGCGAAACAAACTTATTCATCACTGAACGGGAATTCTTAGCCCTCGTTTGGGCTATTGCGAAATTCCGTCCGTACTTATACGGACGTCCGTTCGCAGTCATCACGGACCATCATGCGCTTTGCTGGCTGTCGACGCTTAAGGACCCTACAGGAAGACTCGGCCAATGGGCACTTCGATTACAGGAGTACACGTTCTCGGTTGTTTACAAATCTGGAAAGCTGCACAGCAATGCTGACTGCTTATCCCGGCAGCCCGTTGATCCACCTAGCTCCACTGATTTGGAATCTGATGCCTGCGTTTTAGCCATCACTGACTTTCTGAACGCGGCCAACGAACAGCGCCGAGATCCATCGCTGCTCACCATCATTGACCACCTTCAATCGTGTTATGCTTACCCTTCTCTTAGCAGATAGCTACTTCAAGACAACGTTTTGTACCGCCGCAACTTACACCCCGACGGCGCGGAACTTTTACTCGTCGTACCGCATCACCTGCGAAAGAATGTTCTGTGACAATTCTACGACGCTCCAACTTCTGGACATCTAGGAGTCTCCAGAACTTACGACCACATTCGACGACGAGTATTCTGGAAGGGCCTCTACCGCTCTGTTCACCGTTACGTCGCTTCATGCGACCTCTTCAAGCGCCGAAAGAAGCCTACGACTCCCCCTGCCGGTCTTCTTCAACCTATTGAAGTTCCAGCCGAGCCATTTTATCGAGTGGGGTTGGACTTGCTAGGTCCCTTTCCTACTCCTACAACTGGAAATAAATGGATTGCAGTGGCAACAGACTATGCCACTCGGTATGCAATCACTCGAGCGCTACCAACCAGCTGCGCAACCGACGTTGCCGACTTCCTGCTGTACGACATTATTCTCCAGCATTGCACTCCGTCTCACCTGCTCACAGACTGTGGTCGCTACTTTTCATCTCGTGTGGTTGATGATCTACTCCGATCTTGTGCTACCCATCACAACTTCACCACATCTTACCACCATCAGACTACGGAGCGCCTTACGGAGCGCCTAAACCGCACATTGACAGACGTGCTTCCCATGTACGAATCTACCGACCACACTGATTGGGACATAGCTCTTCCGTTTGTAACCTTCGCCTATAACTCGTCGCATCATGAAACAGCCGGCTACTCCCCTTTTTATCTACTCTTCGGACGTCATCCCTTACTGCCCTTCGACACACTGCTTTCATCAGACCACCCATCCTCCACTTCGTACGCTCAGGATGCGATCACCCGGGCCCTCACGGCATGCGCGGCAGTGCGCACTCGGTTATCGTCGTCGCAGACAGCACAGAAGTCCCTTTATGACCGTCGACAAAGAGATGCCGTTTTTTCTGCGGGATCTCTTGTTCTCCTGTGGCTCCCAACTCGACGTGTTGGCCTCTGCGAGAAACTACGATCGCGATACGCTGGGCCCTACCGAGTCATTCGTCAGATCACACATGTGACCTACGAGATTTCCGCTACCACAAACTCATCAGCTGGTGCACCCAGGACGGAAGTAGTCCACGTTTCTCGTCTCAAGCCCTACAATGCCGACTCGCTCATTTAACAGGCACCGAGACGGTGCCTTACGGGCCGGGGTGATGATACGTGTATAGAACTGTCGCCCCGATACAGCTGAATTGGCACCCAAATGAAGAAAACGACAACGTGCTTGTTGTGAGTTGGACTTTCTAGCTTCTCCCGTTGGCCTGCTTGACTGCGCACTCTCTAAGCCGTTAGCAAGACCAGCTCTCGGGGAATAAATCCTAAATCTTCCCCGTAACAATATATATAAATATATATATATTCTTACGGGTAACTTATTTAATAAATTAAATACGTTGCACCATGCTTGGCGAACAAGATGGCGACAGTTCATCAACAACCAGCCACCAGCATCGTTTTTCTCTTTCTTACAGCCAGGCTGTGCTGGCTGTTGTGTATCAATATATATATATATCTAATATATATATATATATATATATATATATATATATATATATATATATATATATATATATATATATATATATATATATATATATATATATATATATATATATATATATATTTATATATATATATATATATATATATATATATATAACGTAAGTAGGTATTGACTGAAGGTAGAGGCTGAGGAAGAAGAAGTCAGAATAGAATAAACATGGCTTATGAGCCAGGCCCCGTCTCCCAGTCATCATAGCGTCCCACGAGTCGACAGGATGAAGACCTCCCAGCCACTTCATTAGTGTCTCATCATCGACGCAGTACTTCACAAGACCATACATCGACTACGGAGTCATCTCCTGGCCGCACACAGCGACCAGCACTATGACAGAATCATCGTTTGTCCTTCCCATCTCCAAGTGTACCGGAGCAGCGGACGATGGACCCGTGCAGGACTGGTTCAACCTGTTCGAGCTCCACGCTACCGCTGCGTCATGGTCGGAACGGGGGATGATCATCAACTTTACCGACTACGTCTCCGGTGAGGCCTTCCAATTCTACCTCACCCACAGATTTCAAAACGACGAGTCATGAAAAAAGATAAAACAAGAGATGATCGTTTGGTTTAAAGAATACAATGACGACTACGACGAAGACTTTCTTGTAACCCATCATCCACAGACAACTTCACTCAGTCGTCAATTTTACAGCCAGTCTTCAAATATTCGAACGCACAACAAGATTCGACCTCTGGCAAATGACGAAGTGGCACACGAGTTCAGTGGCAGACGTAAATGCGTATTTTGGGAAAAACACAGCTATCGAGCGCGCCTCCCCTCTGCACGAAAGTCGGCATTTGTGAAGTCATCGCTTCAACATATGACCCGAGACGTTGCTCAACCACCTGATGCCGTTCACTCTTCGTCTCGCATACGTGGTCGACCACCTGGGTTCTCTTCATGCGGTTCTTCAAGCGCTCCTAACGCTCACCATTTACCTTATAAGGACGCCGTATTTATGGTAGATGGCCTGGGACATCGCAAAAATACCCTGTCGAGCCATGCTCCTTCCGCACGGGTTCATGCATCGCCATCCAGTGCATACACACTCGGCAGTGGAAGCAACACCGAAGGCTCAGATGCATCGAACGTCGCACGCTGCAATGCGCAAGAGCATCTCGTAGTGAACAGGGTGGAAGAAGCTTCTTAATACGTTCTACGAACTCTGAAGCATTGTCTTTATTGCCCGAAGTGCATGACAACAGCCCACAAACTACCAGCTGCCGACTGGGCACCACATCAAGTTGTGAAGAAAACCAGCGCGATGTTCAAGAAGGGATCTCACTGCAATGCGTTCCACAGCAACATCAGCAACGCCAGCAAAAGCAAGTCCAAGACTCGCAGACACTCCAACGGATACACCGACAAAGACGACGACGCAAAGTAAGCCTCTTAAAACAAATTCAAGACGCCAGGCATCTTCGCATAAGGGATCGGCGCCAGAAACGCATTTGGCGCAAGAGATCAAGACTGCGTCTACGATTACAGCTCCGAAACAGCAGAAAATGCCGAAAAAGACGAGAAGGCACCATTTGTACAACGCGGAGACCAAGACATTGTTCTGATTTCATCAGCTGCGACCATCGCACATGCAAACTAGAAGCCCACCGTCTGTTCCCGTCACGAGACGCAACTCGACGCTTTCAACATCGGAACTCCAAATGCTACAGGGACTCCCACTCTTGTCCGTTCCTCGCAAGAACTCAACCCATGTCACGACCAGTGCAGATCTCCAGGGTGTGGTTATGCCATCCAGAGCGCAACAGTCAGCCTCGCCCACCAGAACTCTAGCGTTAACCGGACTGCTGCACTCTCCACTGAAGTCTTCGAAAGTTTATGGAACTCCTCTGGCGCATAGAACCAATTGTGACTTTTGACATTTGTGACTTTTTAACCTCTCCTTGTATACTTTTTCTTGTTCATAATTCATGCCTTCTTTCGGGGGGAGAAGGAATCGTGTAACGTAAGTAGGTATTGACTGAAGGTTGAGGCTGAGGAAGAAGAAGACAGAATAGAATAAACATGGCGTATGAGCCAGGCCACGTCTCCCAGTCATCAGAGCGTCATATATATATATATATATATATATATATATATATATATATATATATATATATATATATATATATATATATATATATATATATATATATATATATATATATATATACAAATACGTCCATGCACGAGTGCCATATAATTGCTATTACAATAGTAAACTATTCCAACACACACTTCAACCATGTAACTAGTCCCATGAATCGGAGGTCCGGGATTTCTGGAGCCGAATTCACCTCTTTCATTACTATTTGGTAAAGGCGTTTTCCTATTGCTCAGCTGGCTTCGTTATTGTTATGTCTCGCATGCCGATTGGTGAAAATACTCTCTTGTGAGAAGTTTTTAGCGTGAGAGGTTGTTGCAAATACAGACCCTGTTTCAACTGTGTATATGTAGCCAGTGATCAAATAGACGACTTTCACTTCTCAGATGGCGAGCCTAATGGACGACAGCTCCAACGAGTTTCTTCAAGTCATCGAATCCCTGAGGAAGAATTACGAAGCTCTCGAGTTCCGCGATCTCTTCCAGAGACTCACCGCAGACGTCATCATTCGATCGGCGTTCGGTCTCAAATCCGACCTGCAGCAAAAGGACCGAATGAAGAGCACAACAGAGTCACTGTATCGGGAAACGTTGGATAGCTTGCAACAATTTCGCCGGGCGTGGATAAATTTCCTGACTGGTAAGTTTAGCGATCCTGTACCTACCCTGAACATATAACACAGAATATAGCGTTTTCGGAAAAATTTGTGCTTTGAAAACTTTTCTGTTCAGTAAACACTGTTTTCTTCTATTGAAGTACTCAGCCTGAGTACGTGGACGTTGTGACACGACCACTCGACTAAAGAAAAAAAGACAACAAACGTTGCGGCCTGGACCATCGCACTGAAAAACACGGACACAAGCATTAGCACAGTGTTGACCGTTCTGTCTGTGTTGGGGCCAGTTGACATACAGCCACTCGTATTTAGAGCGAAAAACAGAAGAAAAGAACAGAGTTGTTGCATGCCTGAGATGTTGTATCCCGCCATATACAGGTATGCGGGGAAGCCGCTGTGTTTGGTGGTGCCTTTGACTGGCAACAATGATGGCAACATCAGGTACCGTGAATGGCACGACACTGCATGGCGATGAAATCACTTATGATTGAAATAAATACCATTGTTTTTGGAAAAAACCGCATCCGAAGGAATGATGGCGTGATCCCTAATCATACTGCCGGAGGGTTTGAGGTTTCTCAAGAGAACCTAAACACAAAGGCACTTGTGCGTTCTTGAAACCACCTTGGCGTAACCCGGCTTGTGACGCCACAACGGCAATAAGTTCAACCATGGCTGGGTCAGATCCAGCATTGGTTCAAGTATATGCAGTTCTCGCCATTTTTTTGACGCGCTACGACTACATTACTTTTATTGATAGGTCAAGGTTGTATACTGTGCATTTTATAGTTATGTGCTTCCATACTGTACTTTGCAACCCCAACTATTGTACAAGAGAAGAGGAGTGGCCGGTGTCACACCTATACAAGCACCTGCCACCCCATTACATACATGTAATTAAAACGGATTTTTACTAGCATATTATACTGAGTACCACTCCGTTTTTAGAGAACTGGGGCTCTTTACTGCAGCACCAGGCCCTGAAATTTTGTTCCCTTAGTGAGCCTTCACACTGGGGAGTTGTACAGTTTGTCTGTCATAGGAAAGTTTGCCCACGTGTACCCTATAAATTAAAACTGGTTTTTCAAGGTGGACATACTTTTTTATGGCTGCCAGAACTTGCAAGAGGAACGGAAGGAACCACATAAGTAAAGCTCAGCCTCTTTTGATCACATATTTGCCCCCCGGGTTTACACCACCAAAGCTTTCTCGTCAGTTTCGTTATCATCGATCCAGGGGTCTAGTTAGGAATGCATTATTGCTGACTATGCGGCTGAGAATATGTGCAATTTCTATTTGTTATAGTATTAGGCGAGAGCAATGCATTTAGTCTGAAGGCCCAGAATAAACTCTACAAGTTTCACTGTCAAAGGTATACAAGCACTACAGGCCATGCTAAGAAATAACAATCCCATTGTGTTGAAATTGGGCGTGAGTAATATTTATCTGTTATTCATTAGGATTACCAATATTTCGCTGTGTAGCCGAAACCTGGGGGCTCGCTAAGAGGGTTCAGCTTCAATTGAGGACGACGCAGCGATTAGTGCAAAAAAAAACAAAAATCGTGTAACATTGAGAAGCAAGGAGAGATCGGAGCGCATCAAGAAACAAGTGAGAGCTGGACATCTTAGTCGAAAATAAGAACAACAAATTGGCATATAGGCAGAGCACGTAGCACGAAGGCAAGATAGCCATTGGACGTGAAAAGTACCTGAGTGGATTCCTTGAGGAGCCAAGCGTGGGAGGGAGAGACAGAAAGCTAAGTGGGATGACGAAATCAAGAAGCTTGCGGGTATAACACAGCAGCAGCAAGCGCAGCATCGGGTATAATAACACAATAAAGGAAGGGCCGTTGCCCTGCAGTGGGCGTAGTCAGGCTGATGATGATGATCATGATGACAGGGTAAGAAGTAATAGACCTACCTTGCCTCGCCACCTAAAAAATCCGACGAAACATGACGTCACCGCATTCTTTTCTATCGCATCGATTTCTTTTCTTAATTTCAACGCTTTCGCCAGATTTCATTTAGTTTTCTTTTCCAGCTTGCTTTCCGGAGTTTAATCCTTTGTGGAGGCTGATCATATCATTCGGTTCACGACATAACAAGACGGCGGCAGACAAGTGTTTTGACGAGATCACTTCCATCATACAGTTTCGTCGTGAAAACCGTGAGGTAGGTCATTTAAGTAGCCGTCAATGCCGCTATATTGACGGCCCATTTCTCCCTCTACCAGTGTTACGTTTCGGGAGTTTTTGAAGGGCACAAACGGGAAGATAAACGCGAAATCGCAGTTTAAGATACGTTTGCAAAACGTGTATATGCTTGTTACACTTAAGCTTTGATCATTCAATGAAGATGTACCTTGAAATGTGTGTAATGAAGCGTGTGGGTTACCGTGATTAAAGTCACAGTCCCTTCTGTCAAAATAAAAACAGCACCGGGCAAACGGTCTATTTTTGCGAAATATGAAATATATTATCAATGCAAAGTTAGCCCC